GTATTTTTTTACAGTGTAGGTAGGTTCATTAATTCAATATTATACAAAGCACCGGTTAAAATTTTTTTTATTGTAACTCTAGAAACATTATCAAAATTATCTACTTTGTTAATACTACTCTGTTAATAACGCAATAATATTACGATGAAAATAACGATACAGTATTCTCAGGGAGAGAATATTTAATATACTTTAGAAAACAAAATTAATTATATATTTAATATATTAAGCAATGTATAAATTATTTAAATACTTAAAATTAATTAAATTTATTACCGACATACGGGTATATGCAAATAAAGTGCATTAAATAAAGAATGAACACGCGGGAATACTTTGGAATTTCTCGCTTCGTTACGAGTAAGCTTTCGCTGGGTCTGGCCATTATTTAATTCTTATCAGATATCTGCTACCAAATATAATTTTGCAAGAGGTTGCGTGCCTCTGCAGAAACCAGTTCGCAGGACAAATTATCATTTCACGATCGTCGAGGACATCAAAAATTTCTTCACGATAAAGAATAAAAAATTAAGAATTATATTTTACTTTATATATCATTCACGATCAAAAAAAGATCATACATTACGATAACTTAGTGCAATCTCTTTTATGTGTTTGTAGTGTAATAATTTTGGACTTTACTTTTCTGATGAAAAGTATAGTATACAAAATGATAATGATTTAATCGACAAACTCTGGCAAAAATTTGCCATCATTTTGCCAGAGTTGGTCGATTAAATCATTATACCATTTTTTAATTATCGTCTGGTGACTTTATAGTTATATATCGTTATAGTATACAAATTTAAAATATATTATGTCTTTAAAATCTTTCACAGTTTAACTCAATCATCAATGCCTCAAAGTTGCACTTAAAAATATAGAATTGCACTAGTTTACAAAAAGAATATATTTTTCATTATTTTAAACCAGACGTGTTTTTTATAGATTTTTGGATGCTAAAAATAATATCGCAAGCCAATTTTCACCAACACGTCAGATTTTCAAAATAATTAAAGTTTAATATACATAAGTAAATATGACTTTTTTAACTATATTTAAATTTTTTGGTAAAAAAGATCAATGTTATTTTTAAATTTTGATCAGAAGTCACATGAATGTATTTTGTTCCTTATAAAATGCATTTGTTTATTTCGATATCTTACTTATTAATCATGTTAGGAAAGATTTAAATACAAAATTTTGCTGAGATAGCAAATATTCCGCCTAATGATGAAGTCATGCAATCAAACAACATCACGTCTAAAAACGAGACATAAGACGTCTTAAAGATATCTTAAAGATGTCTTATGTTCCGATTTTAGACGTTTTATTATTATGCTCATAACAATTTGTAGTTTAGAACTATCAATACACATGCACAGTAACAGTGTAACTTATCGTGATAAATTCCACTAAATGTATATTTATATAACATACATGCATATAGGATGTTTCACATTTTAAAAAAGCCTACCTTGAATTTTTTGAAACAAATGCATTTTCGAATTCATATGTTCCAAACAAAAGTTGTATGATTTAAAGAGGGATAAATAATGGTAAAATAAAAAAAATTTTTCCGTAAAACCTTTTTTTCTCAGGAACATCTCTAAATGAGAAATAGTTCCCAGCTGTAATCTTCCATACACGGCTAAAAAGTAACATTGAAATTAAAAAAATATATGTTATAAGGGGTAAATATAATATTCATATCTGATCAGACTTTCCAGAAAATGTTACCTTTTTTCCAAAAAGATCGTAAATATATCGCAAAAAGTCATTTTTTACATATTAAACCTGAATTATTTTGTAAATCTGACATGCTAGTGTAATTTGGTTTGCGGTATCGTTTTCAGCACTCAAAAGTCCATAAGAAATACTTGGTCTGATTAAAATAATTTTTGGCTGTAAATTAGTATTATACTGTAGTGTTGTAGCAACTCACCGTTTCTAAATCACGTAATAATCATGCTCCACATCGAAGAACAGGCGTCTGTTGATACGAGAGCATCGGCACGTTAACACGGGCATTCGCCTCCACCGAATCATTTAACATTATAATGACCGGGCTCCTGAGAACAGTCGGAACAGGTAGGAATACACTATAAGACCTGTTACGAAAGAAAGAGCAGGCGGACCTCCCGCGGCCTCTGTTCGCTCCGGCACATATACGTTGTTATCTTCATATCTTGATTTAGAAAAGCTAGGAGAAAAGTTAGCCGGAGTAAACAATGAACCGGTAGAACGCTAGAACTCTGGATCATTTAGAGCGGATATATATGTATATATTATATAAAGGTATCATACTTGTGTAAGTAGCTGCAATGGCTAAGACACGTTGAGATATAGAGTTGCCGTTATTATCGTAAATACGAGTATCTGAGGAATTTTGTCACGAATACCCGCATACACGCGTTGTCACTAAAAAGACTTACAGTGTATACCGCCACAGAATTTTCTCGGATGTCGCAATCTTTTCTTTTTTCTTCTTTTCAATCTACCGCTAAATAAACGGCCGAGAATGGAGATGTAAGAAATGTCTCTCTAACGCATTCGATTGTTTTATTGCGCGTTCTCAATCTGACAATGATGAGATATATTTAGATTAGATCATTGAAAAAATGACTGATAAAGCAGAGGATGAAATATATTTGATTCTAATAGTATTGCAGAAATATTTTACGTGCTGTGATATATATACGGGGGATATTAAATTATACAAAAAGTATAAGAGTATTAAAATATTTCAGTAAATTAATTACTTATTAGATAATTAATGTATCATACAGCTGCAATTCGATCATTTTATATATTTATATATATTACGCATTCTCAATTCGACTTATTTAGAGCATCAAAAGTCGAGCAAGAAATTATCGGATGAAACATGTGTATTTGATTGTAAGTTAATATTAATTGTAAGCTAGTTTTTAAACATATAATTATTACCTGTAAAGATCGCAACAACGATAAATTTTAATTTGGACTCTTGTTATTTCGATTTTTACTTTAGTAAATGAATGAATTGTACAAGACTTATCATTGTGATATATTTTATAGGTATATATCATTTGTATTTTGAAAACTATTTAATATTAAAAATAAATGGATGCATTATTGTTTTTTCCTTTAATTTAATATGATTTTATTAATAATATAATTTAGCCAAAAAGTTTTGCTTTTAACGTTATATTTGATAGCCAAATTATACATGTATTGTACTGTTCCGCTTGATTTTTAAGCTAGCCTGAATAAAGCTATCCCACATGTCATAGAAGATGCTTGCGTTGCCATGCAAAAGGAGCAATATAAGTAACAGTTATATGTACATATATGTTCGTTTCGTAGAATATATATATACATATACATATACATATATATATATATATATATATATATTCATTTATTTATTTATTTATTTATTTAATTTATTCTTTATAAATTTTTAAAATTTCTCTTGAATATATTTCTTTCTTAATTATAAAATTATAGCGTATAATATTAATAAAATTATATTATTACGTTTCAATAATTTATGATAAACAATTAGAATAAAAATCTATTTACACATATTTGTGACGTATCAAAGCCGTATTCATTCAATTCCGTGATTTTCCGTAGTATCAGTGAAAATAAATATCGTTCCTTTATTTTTCGATGTGTTCACACATATTCGGCACAGTACCGTATTCGGATCGTTCAGTCTCAATTCTGTGTCCGTACAGTGACATTGGGTTTTCATTGCCAACGATATTTTTGCTTTTTCACGGACACGTTACAGTACTTGTTGCTTGTTGATTATTTTATACAGGACTAATAACTTTTCAGGCCGTGCATTTAAAAGCAAATAAAGTGTTCATTGCATAATTTTATGATAAAATTATCCGATTAATATATTTTATTTGCATCATCGGAAATCCGCGACTTAACTTAAAAAATGTGATTTGCTTGACATAAAGGCTTCTGTATAAGTTTTTGTTATATTCATATAGATATTTTTTAGGCTTATAAACATGAATGATAAACAATTAATTGAATTAGTGCGACAATATCCTGTACTGTACGATTTATCACATCCGAGATATATGGACATCTCTTTCAAACTCAATATTTGAAATAAGATTAGCATAATTATGAAAGAAGATGTTAAGTATTGTAGTGAAGTGATATATATATACGCAAAGATACAATAAGGATGTGTGTAATAAAAAAACAAGGAAACATAATTTAATATAATTTAATTCCAAAAGGCACAATAAGTATGCGCTCAAGGAACATTCTCTGCGAAAATCATTCGCCATGGGCTCAATTACAATATATGTATAATTTGACAATAAATAACACTAATATAATAGATAGCGAGTAAAATCAATCATTCTTCTATATATGTACTCTAGGAGTAATCGCCGTATATATATATATATATATCTGGCAAAAAATCGCCGAGATTATTTTAATAAAGTTAACTATATATATATATATAGTTAACTTTATTAAAATAATCTCGGCGATTTTTCCTACATGTATATATATATATATATATATATATATACATGTAGGAAGAACTTACTTAGTATATGCCGCAGTATGTACAAATATATGTAAAAATTCTTTTTACAAGATCCTACAGTCTATATCTGTCAAAGGAATATATCCGATCGTGACGCATTCGCAGGTATTATTCCTCGATCAGACAAATAGTAAAAAAGTTTATCTCTACACGCAATAATAAAAACTAATTTTCTAATCATTGTGATGTATGTGCGCGCGATACTGGCGTATAATATAATATATCTAATATATTTCTTTATCTACATGTATATAGTACATAAATCTTGTTATGAAACTCGAACGATTTATATTTGAAAAAAAGTAGCTGTTCTTTTTTTTAAGTATAAAAAATTTAAATAAAAATAAATATTATTTCCTTGCTTTATTTTTATGAATATTTTATATATTATATATATTTTATATATATATATATATTTATATCTTTATTTTTATCTCTACATAGGTTTTTATGTATCTATCTTTTTCTTTGAGCTTTTTCAAATATTTACGTATTAAAAAATTATAACTATAATGAAATAAGTCTTAGAAAGATTGTCAGATAGTGATGCTTATATAAATAAATATCATCTATACTGCCTTTCATGATGCAAAGAACGTAGTATAATATTGCGCATACAATATGTAATAGTATAATTGAAGACACGCACGTTTCTTACAATTTACAACGTCGCCGAATGTGCAGTTATGAATTGGAATCGAGAATTAAAAATACTTTTTCTATCGGAGTCTTTGATGCTCTACGCAAACATTTTCAGTGAATTCTTAATTACAGCTATATTCAGTCATAATGAACAGCAGATGCTGAGATTTAACCCTTTCCAGCATATATTTTATAATCCTATGATAACAATTCTTTAAATTATACTCAAGTATAGTAACTGCGGTTGCATGATTCTTTGCATTTGCGACTTAACGAATGGCACGTTCTATTTTACATACAAGTCACTTATTTCGAAAGCGGTGTGAATAGATTCGAAAAATTCTTTAATCGTCACTTTAAAAACAAGGGGCTCATATATTTTACGTACAGTTCTATCTATCATTCATTCGAAAATGCAGGAACATAAAAGAAGCAATTCTCAAGGAACTGTCGACTATGATGCCGGAAAAGGGTTAAATATTATGCGAATTTATTTATACAAAATATGACGTGTGCTATATCTATCATCTAACGATACTATACTTTATACAAGAATGCTATCAAGTAGACCCTTAACGAGAAACAAATTCAATATAAAAATCTTTCGCAAAAAATCCACTCGTTATACATATATATACATTAATAAATAATTACACCTGACGATCGAGTACGCAGCCAGCCGGTAATTAATCTTACAACATTAATTAACCTATGTGATGTGTTGGCGAGAACGCAGTGGTGACATGTGATCGACAAACGTATAATCGCATTCGCGAAGGAGATATTAAAAAGCAGGGAAGAATTGTTCACTGATCTGTTAAGTCCCAGATAGCCAAGCGTGATGTAGCATATTGAGCAAACTAATGCATATGTTGTTACATATTTGCTCTACATTTGCTGACATCGAAGTAAAACACGTTACGCATGCAGCTACATGACTGCTTAAATGCAAATTACAAAATTTTAAAAGCAAACAGTTTGCAATACTAATACGTTATGTTGTCTGCAACATGTCAGTAATATGACAGCAATAAAAATCATTCATCATTCTAGCTTGAGCATCATAATAAAAACATGACGGCAACAATACATATATAATAATTTCCATTTGTATATCTTCAAGCTGTGAAATTTCTTAATTGTAGCTTGTTGCTAATAAAATGTTGACAATATGAAATTGATGTTGACACGTTGCAATCAATTTGCCGTTATTGAAATTAAAATTCAAGTGAATTCAACCCGACAGACATAATGCTGTCTCACCTTGTTTTAAGTTTGTTAAAATTAATTGCTAACGATTGCTAGCAACATGACAGCAAACTCACTGCATTTGGCTATCTGGGGTGTAACAAGCGAGAAAAAAATGTCATGGTTACGCAAATGTCGCAAATATACCGGATCTCATTTATATAGTCAAATGCGCTAGCTTCTTCTCCAACAAACTATATTACTCGACAAAAAATAAAAAACAAAGGATAAAGAACGATACGATGCGTCCCTTGCATCTCGGAGAATCAGTCTTAAAGATGCATTGAGCAGAAGGCGACATAACTGCTGGATGATGGATACATTGATGTCGATCGTCTCTTAGGTTTCGCTAAACACATATTTCTACGAGAAGTCATTCTTTACTTTTTTTACCTTTTAGTTATTTGTCTGCAATGATGAATAGTATCGGTCATCTACCAACCGATCAAATGATACAATTAAATTTCGCAATAAAGGTCAGTCTCAAAACTGAATCCGGTCATTTAGTTTCACCGTCGATAGCTAGCTGTCTCGATTATTATATATGTTTCATATTATTCTCATATATATATATATATATATATATATATATATATATATATATATATATACATTGAACAATAATTTAGATGTGCTATTTAAAATGTCATAAAAAGACACATATGTTAAAAAAATCTTATCTTCAAAGAAATTTATCGACCATTGGTATTTCAATTTGGCCTCGTCGTCCAATGAGTTTTGATTGATTCAAGACAGGATTTTGCTATACGAGAGTATGCACATTTCGAGATTAACGTATCCCCAAACGCACTAGGAATTCTTTTGATGAGAGTCAAACGTTTCATTGCTATTATAACCATTTAAATCAACATAATTTCTCCAGCGTTAAAAAATTTAAAGAATATTTAACTGGTTAATTAAAATGCCGTACCAGAGAGCCGATCTCCGGGCTTAAAAAAATCCTTTGGTATGACCTGGGCAATTACATTCGCCGATAAATACAAATACCTTGAAATCATTCGTGTTAATTCCTTGCTTTCCAGGACATTCATCACATACTCTTGATTCTGATATTGAGTTTGTACTTGTTATTTCTTATTAGTAGAACACCGTATGCTTCGAGGCATCTCTGACTAGTTCTCAATGTTTTTCACAAAATCATCTCATTTATGTCAGAGCACTGATACGTTATCGGTGCTTTTCTTCTCGGACAACATAGATGTTCTTTCGTTCATCTGTATGTTCCCAGTGCTACCGTTTCTACCTGGTTCGCAAGTTAATTTTAGCATACCTGGTTGAAGATTGACATATCTGTGAGCCTCGCTGTCGTTGGGATTCTCTTGGAGCCACATTTGCTTCAAAATCGAGGCTCTCGTAGAATCCAACAAAGGGCTAGAACTGTCTTGTTCGGATATGCCAATCAGCAAAGAGTCCAAAGTCTGATCATCATCCTGGCCACTATTCAAGTCTAATAGAAGCGGCGTTGGTGAGTTCGGGGATTTGGATTCTTGAGTTTGCGCGATTGAACGCTGCGATGGCCACGAAATTGAGAACTTTCGATTGTTCTCCGATAACTGTATGTCAAGTTGCGCGGTGTGCTCCAGTTGAACACTCGACAAAGGTACATCCAGGCACGGTGCGATGATGCGAGGATTTGTCGCCAGAAAGTCAACAATCTCCGGTGCCGATGGTCTCTTCATATGGTCCACGTGCCAACAGGAATACATTAAACTCTCACTGTAAATATAAAAATAGAGAATGTAACAAAAAAATTGTTATGGGGATTTCTCAGCGAATAATAGATAGAATAAGATAAGAAAAAATGTAATTTTGTAATTATTTTTTATTTTTTATTTTTCATATAAAATCGAATTTTCCAGAGTTCTTTAATGTATGCAATCGTAGAGAAGCATTTTTAATTCTGTCAAATTAATGTAACAAAAGACTAGAAGTACGAAAATAATAATTGGTTGATAAAACAGACAATCACGAAGGATTCAAACTACATCGGGACAATCACTTACAGCTGCAGTCTCACTTTCTTCGGCACGGTAAGACAGTTCCCAGCCTTCACATGTGAGAGTACTTCGTTGTTGCTCATCCCTTGAAAAGGGAAACTGCCGAATGTAACAATTTCATAGAGCAATACGCCGTAAGACCAGACATCGGATGCTGGCGTGAAGATACCTAGTGCCAGCGACTCTGGTGACATCCATCTTACTGGTAGCATGCCTGAGCAAAATAAAAATTTACCAATACATTCTATGATAGAATCATAGTGCTGTAAAAAAAGAAAATGTCACTTACCCTTCCGATTAAATTTGTAATAGTCGTTCTCATACATTGGCCTCGTCATACCGAAGTCTCCGAGTTTCACCACCCGCTGAGCGTTCACTAGACAATTACGAGACGCGACATCTCTGAGAGAAAAATAAATTTAAAAATATGGCATCGTTAATATTAGCGTTGCGACTAGTAAATTTAAAAATCTTTTATCTTACCGGTGAACATATTTTAATTGTGCTAAATAACTGAGCGCTCTAGCGACATCTAAGGCCATAGCGGTTAATTTTTTATTCGAGATCTCGTCAGAATCTTCATAACTCCCATCGTTAACCAAATGTCTTCTGGCCAACAGATAGGTCTTCAAGTCGCCGTAGAGCATAAATTCCATCACAGTTAACACGGGTTCGCACTTTATGCACACACCTAATAATTTGATTATGTTCTTATGCTCGAATCTCTTCATGACCTCGACCTCACTCAAAAAGTCAAGTTTCTCGTCGGTCGAACTGCCGACTTTTAAAGTCTTTACAGCAACAGCTAGCCAGCCCTTGTCAGGGAAGAAGGCTTCGCCACCATAAACGGTACCGAAAGCTCCCTCTCCAAGTTTTCGATTAATCACAACTCTATCTCGAGGGATTTCCCATACATCCAAACTAGAAGTATCTGTTTGTGACAGATCGATACCCAAGGACTTCATATACTTTTCGTGTTGTCGTACTTTTTCGTCATATCTATAAGAAATAGTAGAACACTATCATTTAACAAAAATGCAGAAATATAATTCCTTGAAGAATATTAAATTATATTATTTTATATATATATATATATATATATATAATATATATATAGAATAACGATTAAAATAAACATACTTTCGTTTAATCATGACAAAACCAATGATTAGAATTGCTCCCAGCAAGCTGAAGCCGATAATATTAGCGACCACTATCGCTACTTCGCAAGATACATCCAGCAGCTCTGCCAATCCTGCCAAAACACATCTCGGCGGAGGCTCTGAACCATCGTCGGGCATCGTTTCCGACAGCCAAACAAAAGCCGATGTATTTAAATCCAACGTACCGCCGATTACTTCGTGCCTGGCTTCCGAGGCATTCGGATAAAAATTACCAACAATGTGCGTCTCATTATCGATAAACTGTACGATATTAATAACTGAGTATCTCGATGGTCCTCCTAGAAATTGTATTCTTCCCGATACCTAAAAAAAATAAAGATACAGAACTATAAATAAAAAAACTAAAGAAATATTTAATTTTAGGTCGTTATGGAATAATAAGTTAATTGATAAATTTGTTCTACCAACCCCGTTAAAATCGGTCTCGCCGATGATGGTCGTGAGACGATTGACCGAGTGATTGCTGTGAAGATCGAAGACGTAACTCTCATTCTCACGGATAAGGCGATCCGTAGCGTAAGCGTAAGTCCACATAGCATCGTAGGCGTAGCCGGCATAATTAGAAGGTTGATGATTCTGCTTTCGACAAATATCCTCATAACGGTCGCGCCACTCGCGCACTGTGATTCCCTCCTGCATTATGTCGTCATCGCGAGCAAAGTACGCGTGTGACAGACCAAGATGTCCATTTATGGCCTTCATCATCTCGTTCGTGGTACAAGGTACTTTTTCGCCCTCTTGATTGTAATAATCGGTGTCATACCATTGTTGCTGAAGCCAAAGCGGAAGAAACCAGACGTAGCCCTTTGATAAAAAAAATTAAATCGTTAGAAATGATCTTTAGTTTTTACAAACTATTTGTAAATAATAAATGATGCATATTTGTTACCTGAATAGCTGTCATCTCCAATTTATATGCTTGGCACATGACCTGACGAGCTACCTCATCATACACATCTGCGATAATGATTCTTGCTCGCTTTTCTTTCAAATCTTGTAAATACTGAAAAATTTATATTAAAAATTATCTATTACAGTTCATGAGGATCCTTAATTCGCATAAATGTTATTAAAAACATTAGAATTTCGCAATTTCTATTTATACAAATATTGTGTTATTTTTATCTATATATTTATTTAAATGTTTTTTTCTCTATGAATCTTTATATTATATTATATTCGTATAATTATTCTTATAAATTAAACATACATTCGTCATCACGTCGGCTTCTCGTTCTCTTGGAAACTTGACATTCGCCACAAAGACGATGCCGTTATCTCTGAGCATGTCCTGCATATACGATATATACTCGGTGTACTTTTGTCCATCCTCCGTCAATGAGGCCACTCGATGCCAACCTAGACTCTGCAAAAGCTGCAGGTAGACGTATTTGTATTGCCTATTTTCACCGATAGTCCTGAAGAAGTACGGATATTTGTTGCGATCGTCGAAACTGGATCCTTCGGCGCTATAGCTGATAATCACCGTTTTGTAATGCTTTGACACTCCGACCAATGGCTCCACGGTTTCCGAGCAAGCCGGTCCTAATACGCCGACCAGCCTCTTATAATGATTGTGTACGATATAATCGATAAAGGACTTCATTACCATATCCGACTTACATTGGCCATCGTTGGCCAATAAAGTCAGATTGTAATCCCTCAGCAGAGTGTTATTAAGGTTGATAACTTCTTTTGCCATCTTAGCGGCGATCACGATCGATTTGGCCATGTATGAGTTGCCACCTATAGGAAATATTCCACCGACATATAAAGTGTTCTTATTGTCGCTATTGGGCTTCCATTCCGTTAGGGTATAATTCAGATTCTCTCTCAACCAGTCGCAAGCGATCTGTTCGTCCGAGACGTTACTCGCTATCCGTGTACGTCGCAAGATCAGATTCTCGTACATCTCTCGACTGAACTTCGCGCGACTAATCGTCTCGAAAGCGATCTTCGCGATCAATTCCAATCTATCCCACACTAGCTTCGTTAGTCTGTTCGATTCGTAGGCGCAGCCAATCGAACCCTTTTGTCCTCCTCCGCAACGTGGAAAATTGATCATTGTAAATTCCCTCTCATTCGGGATCACGCTGCTGGGCGAATAATGTAAAATCACCAACGATCTAAAAGAAATTTTTATTAAAACTTACAACATTTCGTTTCATATTCATTAATTGCCTACATCGACTCTGTTTCGACAAAATGATATATTCATCAAAATCAGTCGTACCTATTCTCAATAGAAGCCGATGAGTTCCACCCGAATTGCATGTACTCCCTAGTCAAGTTCTTGGTCAGGTATCTAAGATTCGGACCCACCCACGCCACCGTGACGTAGAGCTTCATCTGATCGATGTGTTCTTTTACGAATAACGTGACATCCGGATATTCGGCCAGAAGCATCGCGCATTTCGGCGTCCTCTGCTGTCCTTGACTTTGGCATTGATCTGGGACGTACATCCCATGTTGGCAAAAGATTTCGTGGCAGTAGTAATCTCTAGTATCCGGATTTATTGTAGAATTCTTAATAATCGATAAATACGCCTCGTCGACGGCGTATCTGCTGGCGGTCTCTAATCTGGAGAAGACCGACCAGCTTTCGTCGGGTCGGGCTAACGCTTCCGGAACGAACCAACCGAAGTAACCCGGTGGCGCAATCGAACCACATTCCTTCACGTTGTATTTACTCAACAGCGGCGACGTGTCCTGCTGCGGCGGAATCCACACTTCCATGTTCACCATCGTCGTTGGAACACTTTTCATAAAAGGAATGTTAATTATATAATTTAAACACGCTATATCTGCTAAGTTTAAAGATAGCACGAGTTTACTTAACTATTCGATTCAATGTTCTGACAACATTTAGGTATTTAAAGTATAAGAATATAAAATAAAGCCTATATATAACCTTATTTCTTATTTATGTCTCTTATTCTTCTCCAATTCTGATTTTTTTATTTATAAGAATTAATAAAAAAAATTATGTGTTCTGTCTGTTTGGCCGCGAACTTCTATATTTGTGGGTCGATTTTCGTAAAACTGGTACTCAAATGTTTCTAACGTTATGGGGATGAATATTATAAGGATTTGTTTTCGTTTCTTTTCTCATTTCTTCTTTAATTTAATTCCAGAGACAGAATTGGGTGCTTTTTGACATTAAATTTAAAAAAATGGAACAAAACAAAAAACTATGTAAAATAATTCCTCGGAAAATAAGGAAAATTTTGATATCGGTTTCACGAAAATCAGTCCATAAGTGTGGAAGTAAATCGCGGTCAGACAAACAGAGAAAGGAAATTATATATATATAAATATATCATGACTAATATAATTTATCACTAATAATTATAAATGATTTATTGCAATAAAGAGAAGACATATAATTTGGAAACTTATTGAAACCTTTTTTAATCTGCTTGTAGCTACCAAATACTAATAACTGAACCCAGCAAACACAGTATATAAATGTTATATACTTAAGCATGTTACATGTAACGTATATGTTAGTTGTAATTTCCCACTCATAGATGTAACATTTTTAATTACGTATATTACATTATAGTTATATTGTCATTATATCTCAAGATAGCACTGACTTATCAATACATCAATGTGCTATTTGATATATAATTACAATATAACTACAATGTAATATATGTTATATTAAAATGTTACATCTATAAGTAAGAAATTACAACTAACATGGATGTTACATGTAACGTACACGTTATATTACCTGTTATATTCCGTTTTATTATAGCAATGTAACAATTATATATCGGTGTTTGCTGGGAATATATGTATATAGGATTGTCTTCGTATATAAAGATATATAAATTTTTATTATTTTATTTATTTTCATCATTTGATTCCAGGTAGCAAGCGTACGTCATTTTAAATAATCCCAAGTAGCAAACTGGCACTATTTTGACGTCTAATAACGTCAGTTTGTTACTTGGGATTATTTTGATTATTTTGATCGCTTTGATCATTTAGCCAAATACTAATAATATCTATCTTTTTCATAATACATAGCGATTCATTATATTAGATTCTCAGATACATGATAAATTAATAAGATATTAGTCAATAGCTAAACTACGTCTTATGAGCAACATAAGATCAAGTCGTTGAATCTGTTTACTATTTACGTTTCTAGCGAACTGCCTCAATAGCAAAGAATTGCGCTTTAGAAAATTGAAAATGGTTTATAAATTGCAACATGACTTAAAATGATATTATATTATGTCCTCTACATTAAAATAAATTTAAACAAACACGATAGTTCCATTGCAAAAAGTCAAGGTAAACCTGTTTTTTTATTAAACAGAAAGTGTTTAGCTAATTTTTATTATTGCAATTTGTTGTCGTAGAAATTAATAAATTTCTGTTTATGACTTTTTTTATCAGATTAAAAATCGTGGCGATTATTACGAGGACCATCCTGTAATGTCACGTTACAACATCGAGGTATATAGCATCAAAAAAACATTAATTATTAATAAACAATCGTCATATCTTGCAATGATTGAATACATCTCAACTATCGAAATATCTTTTGCATCAAAACGAATTCATTGTTCTGATTTCAAGATGTTTGGAAAAATAAATGTTATTAGATGATCAAGAAACATAACAAGCGCGAGAAACTTAATATAACTATTGGTAAATACGTCCTAAATATTTATCGGAGAAAGCGATGCTGAGATGAAATATGATCATTCAGCACACAAGTTGCTAAGCATATTTGCAGTGTCGGCGTGATAGTAGGTTCTCGATCTAGTTAATTTAGCATCATAAATATCGACATAATATTAGGTGATATATTCCTATATACATATATGAATTGAATATACATATAAAAATTATAAATTCTACCCACCTTATGCAAATATGTTAAAAATTTAAATATTTATTATGATACTCTATTATTTTATGCTATTTACGAACTCATTGAAAAGTAAATGATCAAAAAACTAAAAAGATATTATAATCATATATGTTTGTAATACAAGAAATAATAAAAATAGATAATAAAATACAAAATTCGAGGAATTATAAAAAGAAGTCAGAATCGGGATCGCATATACAATAGCATTAATTATATGATCGTTTGCGTATCTTACATTCTGTGTTCGTTGTACGTCGGCTTCTCGGATAGCCTCTCGAAGACCTCCGATGCATTGAATTTGTCATCCTTATCGATAATACCAATATCACTGTAACCCATTACTTCGGTCAAGAAGATTTTCATAATTTCTGACGTTAACCTCTGGGTGACTCTTCTCGATACTTCGAATTGAATGTTCAAGAAGCGACCTTCATGATGAATCACCCTCTTTGGATTAACTTCTGCAAATCGTAAAAAATTTTTTAATTTTTCTTTTTTTTATTAAATTAAATTTTCGATTAATCAATTAATTTAAAATTAAAACAATTGGTAATTAGAGACTTTGCGAAAAGGATTTTATGATCCGAACGATTAAAAAATAATTGACAAAAAATGATTATTTGACATAATTAAAAAAACACGCGAGTTGAGAATCGCCGTAAATATAGAAATGCAAGGTCGTTCTACCGCTCGATCTGAACAATGTAAACATCTGAGAAAAACAGGAGGCAGGTAGAAGAATGTTTCCGGCCGTTGCCAATCTGCGCGATGACTATATTTAAATGCTCGATAATAAGCGGCTAAGCTATATGCGGCGCGGTTAACATTAACTCGCACGGAATGCGAATTCAGCTCCTCATTACGCGCCGCGATATATGTCTAATTATATTCATCAACAACTACGTGTGATTTAGCGTCTATGGATGAGTCGGATGTGGACTGGGTTCAATTAATGATCCAGACCACGCCTCATCACTGCGTCAATTAACGATTATTACACGCAACGCCGTTTTTCCGATGACCAATCAATGATATCAGCATCTTCTTAGAAAAGCTGACAAATGTGCTGTAATTGAACCACATCGATCAGGCCGACGATAATAATAACCGGCAGTTTACCTTCCAATGTCGTCAGACAGCGATTCGAGCCTGCGATCTTCAGCATGGCCACGAGGACCAGCAGGCCTACTAAGGATCCGGGTCTCAGCATTGTGACCTTCTCATTCTGCAACAGACAAGACAATCGGTATACTATTTAGACTGCTCGTTAGAAATGGGCAGAATTGGGTACGTTAATGATTTTTTACAACTAAGTTAAGTTATAGTTAGTTGTTTATAAAATTAATTTAGTTCAGTTAAAAGTTATGCATGAATAAAAAATTACCTCACTTAAAGTTGAAATTAAATTAATAACTGAAGTTAGATCAAAAGTTAATATTTAAAAACATTTATATGAAATTAAAATTTTGTTTGTTAATTCTTTTAAAATTTATAATAACAAATAACAAAGAAATTTTGATTTTTATATAGAAATATATTTTTGGTAATTACAATTGATGACAAATAAACATAAAAATTAATAATACTTTACTTTAAAAATAATACGTTTATAATTTATAAAAAGACAATGGTATTCAAAGATAAAAAAATTTAACTTGTGAAAAAAAGTTAATAAGTTTAAGATAAAAATAACTATAGTTGAATTTTAAAATTAATACATTTTGAATTAACTAAGCTAAGTTAAAAATTATTAACTTTTTAACTTTTTTAACTTTTAATTAATGAACTAGTTATTACCCAACCCTGAAAATGGGTTAATTTACGATTCACGAAATTGATCTGTAAACAATTTTTTCAGCGATGATAGCATTCAAACTAAATGTTAGACGAAGAAGAAAAAAAATGGAAAATAGGTAATGCATTAATCAAGATTCTCGAATCCTGCTCTCTCATCAAAACATGTTTTTTTTTTAATATATATACGTCTATAATCTCGTGATATATGTTATTTTAAAACAAGATAAGTTCATGATTATCGTTGAGGAATTTTGTCTTAAGAAACAAGCAAAGTACGTTAACAGATAGTTTATCGCAGCAGCTAAGTGTATGTGTATATATGTGTGTATACACAACTTTATAAAATATTTTCAATCGATTATGTATATTCCTTCACCATCAACAATTTTCTTGTCACTTTACTTGAAACGTGTTTATATCAGAAATCCATGACAAATATTGTTGCAAAGGCAGCAAATATGCGTGACCAGATAAATAAAATTTTTCAGATTATCGCGGATATCAAATTGCAAAATAATATCGTGTTTTGCTGAATCAACCGGCATGTATAAATAACATTCACGCGTGACATTCCGCGTAGCGAGTGTCACACAATTACACATTGATCCGATCACACACGTGACATTCAGATAATCGTGACGTGAATAAGTTCATGCCATAAAATGCGGTATATTTCACGAAGCGTTTGGGGCGAGAAGGAAAAAAAGAGAGTCCCCTTTTCTCCTCTTGTATAGCCCTCGCGAATTCGCTGACCTATAATTTGAGTCGAGATAAAAACCCAGATTATACGCATGGAAGTATATATCCGTGAGATTCAAAGTCTCATTCATCAGGGTGCAATATATATGTATATTATATATACGTATACATACTAATCCTTCTGTACATTTATTTTTCCTTAATTCTCGATATTCGGTATGATTCAGAGATACTTTCCCACTCTAGCTTTGGTCTAATTATACTGCGAGCGTAACCAATAATTATTTTGCGCAATACGTTATTGCGCTCTTATTGCATATGCGCATCTGATCGCACGACGAGTGATATCACTCCGTTATCAAGACAAAGTGACGTAGGGAGATATAGGGTCGCATAGGGTTACGAAGGTACCGGACGTGTTCAGCAGGGTATCAGCAGGGTGCCAACCGATCTTATCTTCTCACGGGGATCAAGAAAGCACCTTATCTACGGTCACGCGTGATAGTAACGGTGCGCGTGTGAAAAGTGAGCCGTAGAAACTTCTGATTTCTATGAGCGTTATAGTTAAAGGGATCCTAACGCTGTTCTGTTTTATCGACAAAACGATCATTTTTCTGCACCCTTTTCTTTTTATAGGTTAAATAGAATCACAAATGCTTTTCTACAATTAAAGTACATATAAATATAAATTGAGAGTGTCAAACAGGCAATAAGAGCCAAAAGTACATATAGTAACAAAGTTGTCTCTGAAAACTCATTTTTATGAAGGATTTTAGGAAGAACATCAAAAAATCTAGCTAACGCGAGATGTATCAAGATATATGATCAGGAAAAAATGTTATATGTATATTAAGTTTAGCTAGAAATATTTTGTTACAAAGTTTAGGTTTAAAAAACTAATTTTATAAAATTAGATCTTGATAAATTTGCTGGTTTTTTTTATATATTGTAGCTTATGACTTGTTGAACAAAAAATGTAATAGGCTCAAAAAGAAATAATAAACAATTCTTGATTTACAGTGAGTAAAACACGAAATTTCGAGTTGTTTGATTGGGTGTAGTTCAATAACTATTCATTATTTAACTTTTTAACGAGGCTATTATTTTTTGTTCAAATCATAAGCTACAACATATAAGAAAACCATCTGACCGAAATCCAATTTCACATAGAATCAGGATAAGTTAATAAAGTTATAGTTGCTTATAAAATTAATAGTTAAGTCAAAAGTTGCATGATAATGCATGTTAAAGTTAAGTTAAAATTAAATTAACTGAAGTTAAATCTCAAAAGTTAATTTTTAAAAACATTATTTATATTAAATTAAAATTTTGTGTGTTTATTAATTCTTTCAAAGTTATAATAACAAATAACAAAGAAATTTAGATTTTTATATACACAATATATTTTTTGGTAATTACAATTGATGAAAAATGAACATAAAAATAAAAATTATAAGAATACTTATATATGCTTAATTATTTCTAATTATTTCTAATTATCAAGTGACAATAAACAAAATTTCATACATTGCAAATCGACAAATGGATCAAAGTTGCGGACCATCGCACGTATAATTTAGATCAATATTTAAGGATTATATTCTGAAAGGCGAAATAGGCATCGAGAGGAAAGGAATAGAGGCCACATATGCTCGAAAAGTCCAGACTCGTCGGCGCCCGGATGTCGCCGCGACGTCTGAAACTCGGTCGTATCTTTGGAGGGTATAAAGCTGCCATTGCGTCAGAACACGACAAATTTTATCACGCCATTTGAGCGTGGCGACGTGCTTCTTTATTGCGAAATCGATAGACGACACAAAGTGCGGATCAGAACTTCTGCGCGTGAATAAGCACTATGTTTCGTATGCTTTAAAATTAAGCGTTATTATTTCATATAATATTTGCAAAAATATAAATTAAAAATAATAAATTAATATCAATATGTACAAATATGAAAAAAATTACAATTTAATCGGATGCATAAGCGAAATTAAATAATACTGGATACAAAAACCGACAGCGAGGCGTTAATCAATTTTATTATATGTATATGAGTTATTTTATGAGACATAGAAAGCAAAAGTAATTATTCTTGTCTTCGCATTACATATTTCATATAGTTTATATTTTTTCTTTATCGCACAATACATTTATAAATTCATAAAACAAAAATATATTTATAATACAACTAGGTGAAATATTTTTCTTCCTTTGCATTGAGCAAATTTTACATCGCGCGAACAATTCGCTCTTCGCGAACGGATTCGCCGACGATATTTCAACTCCGTTTGTGCGTCGCACCGGCTGAGAATTATGCAGAAAGCGACGCAAAATATATCGCACCTCGGCATCTCGAGGTGGACAACGAAGTGACGCAAAGACGAAGACAAAACGACCGGGGGGAATGACGAAATGATTGCAATTTAGATACACTGCAGAGGCGTCGAAGTACGGATCCGACCTACGGCCCCCGTTATCACTCATGAATAAGACATTATCAGACACACATCGGCTGAACTTTGTTCAGGATGCTGCACTTGGAGTTTCGTCACTACCATTCAGAATCTTTTACACAAAAAGTCTTTACATAATGTCGGCACTGTTGCTACTGTTATGAATGAGAAACGCAAAAATCTCAACGAAATACAAGATGTTTTCATATTTATATATATGTATCTTTTTTTACTTACTAAAGTCTTACAATTTTTCATATAATTTATATTTATCGATGTTACTCTCTATGTGCGAAATTTTACATAAAAATAATTATATATATTTATTCTACATAGAGATAATTTTCTCTTAGAATTTATCCTGGAAATCATGATAATCATGAGATAACATAGTATTTCCAAGAATTTTATGAGCATTTCTCTGATTAATAGGTATTTATCAAAATAAGATGTAAAATATATTTGATTAATTTTACTAAAATGTAGAGTGAAATTTCAATAATTTTAAAATTATGTTACAAGTTTATGATTCTTTAAGTGTTTTAAATGGAATAAATGCCCAAACGTGATGAATTTATGTAAAATATTTTATTTTAAATTTTACAATGGTGTATAATGTTTTCTCTTTCCATCTGGTTTAATCGTCCATGATAATTTTAACATGCAGCATGGTAATTTTCGACTTATTATCAAACATGATAAAATTTGCATAGTGAATTTTGCGGTAAAATATAGCGAAAAATCTCTCCGCATAGCAGAACAAGACTATTGCATGTATATATCTGTTTTGAATATACACACGAAGAACAAATACGTGAATTAGAGCGTGAGGCGTTCAGTTAAGATCAATTTTCCAATTATGTAAATGTGAAATTTGTAAGATTGTCCTACATCTCAATTATATGTGACGTCTTTCTCCTGAGATTCTTTCGTTAATATGAACTACAAGTGTATAATATATTAGTTGTTTTAGTTTCAAGGTCTTCGCAGTGTATATTGTCTTAACGCAATTGTCGCAATAAATCCGCTCAATTGCGACTACGCATGTTTCATAGTTCTTCCACCATCTAATGTCGATTACGTTGTACCTCTGAGCTTTTTTTCGAATATATTATCATAATAAAGAAATTTCATGCCACGATTTACCCGTTTTCTAAAACTGTCTTCAAAATAAATTTAACAAATATCTCATTTTAGTTCAGCTTTTGTCTACATGAGAAATAAGAGAGAAATGCGTTTTAAAGCTCCTGGATCCTCGCCGCGGCCATGTTGCATTGTGATGTTAGAGGCGAGAAAGCACGCTGAAAATTCTTAGATGCTATTTTTAAATAAAAAAATATTTCGATGAAACACTATTTCAGATGGATTTAGCACACTTTTAAAATACCTCGAAAACTATACTTTTCTTTTGACAGTCAATCAACAACCATAAAATAATCATGATATCAGACTTTGTCATGCGAAATAACTGCGCATGTGCAGAGCAGACGACTAAGTCTCATATTACAGTCATTTTACAACTGTTAAAAGGATAGTTCGAATATATATAGTTTTCGAGGTATTTTAAAAGTGTGCTAAAATCATCTAAAATGCTGTTTCGTAAAAAAATCTTTTTATCTCGAAATTTAAGAATTTTTAGCGTGTTTTCTCGTCTCTGACGTCTCAATTTTTGACATGGTCGGTGAGAAGCCAGAAGCCTTAATCGCAAAATAATATAATAATAAGAAAAATAACAAAGCACCACAATAATTTCATTTAATTTATTTTCTTTGCGATTTTAGAAGACTCCATACAATATACATTTATATTAATCATCTCAAATACATTAATGCATCATGTTATAGTTATAAATTTAAATTGTAAATGTAATATATCAAACCTTATCTATGAAAAAATTAAAAATAAAAAATATTACAGCATTCTCCTTACACATAACAAAATATAAAAATATTGTCTCTGAATATTTAAAACAAGTTTAGCCTCTGATCTTCAGCATGTGCATCACAGTCTAGTTGCGTCATACGATAACACATTGTAACGTTAATTCCGTTCTGATTGCTGGTTGAGATAAGCGCTCTCGGAACGCAGGGTCGAAACCTGCCTCAGGTGGAAAAATGAACGTTTTCAATGGGCGGTTTTACAAAATCCGCTATCCTAGATGCTGGGTGCCGATAGGTTGGACGAATATTTTAACAACATCGTACACGAAGGGGTGATATACGAACATGCGACCGTGCACGCGACTTCGCGTGCGCATAAAAGTATAAAATATACGAAGAAGACGCGTGCAATATCGTGTTTGTGCGTCGTGACTTGTGTGCACGAATAAAAGTCGTTCGAACCGGCGGATAACTTCGTCATTTGGCAGTCTTTTTTTTCTCACGCGCGAAAAATTTCCCATTAATCGGGATATTTTGCATAATTGCGTTCAATACGATCACAAAATAACTTGATCGTGCCTTAATACTATACTACTATAAATGCATTTTATTGTGAATTTACTGCGAATAATATTTCAGAGTAACTTTCTCGATGCACGGAACAATTTTAATTGCTATGAAATTCTTGAATTTAACATTTCACATAATTACATCCAAACAATATGGTTTCGCAAAAAAGAAAAAAAAAGAAAAGAAAAGAAAAAAAAAAAAAAGAGAGAGAGAGAGAGAGAGAGATTGTATAATAAATATTTTTTCTACAATCGTCGATTTCAAGCAGTTGCGATGATGCATTGGATGATGAATTGATTTTCTTCTCGACTCGATTGATATACTCTATTTGTTCTTACATCAATTTTCCTGGTATTACATTCTGGCTCGAAATTTGTTTATACAATAAGGCAATACTTGTCGCAATCATTCACAGAAGCAAACAATTTTTTTTTAGTATTATTAACATATCGCGGTAATATGAAATAAATTTTCTGAAATACGCGCGCGATATACATATTTTAACTCGCATATAAGATAACAAATAAAAAGTAAACTATAAATTT